TCAAGGAAAGCAGACAATGGTGTTATGCATGGCGTGTGTAACACATGTCCCAACCATCTCAATATGTGTAACTTCATATCCCCACCGATTGATTTCCCCTGCTGACCTAGCAGGAAGATAATCACCACTGCTACGGAAACTTGAAGCCCTATGTTCCACTGGGAACGTGAAGGAAAAAAGAAAGAAGTCGAACGTTTTCTTTGTATTCAGGCTCGATAACGGGAGTATTAGGTGAAAAGAGAAAATTAGCCAATGCTATCGAGAAGTTGTATGTATTGCGGCGCCTACGGTATGTCTTACCGACTTCTATCTAAGGTAGAACTAATCTAGAGAGGAGTTTGAGACCATCTGACAAGAACATGGTATATGCCTCTGAAGTTATTGTTATGTACTCATCGAGTAGTTAATAGTCCTGACGCGGGAAGAGGGAAATCAGAAGACCACCAGGTTTACGATGATACTTGTATTTTCCAGACAAGGAAAATAAATGTCACACAAGTGTGTGAGTGAAATGGTACGAGTGTACGCAATGTGTGTGAATCAGAATACAGTACAAAAGTATCTTTGAAAATGACTAATACACATGATCCAATAGACAGTCATCTTACCATGATTGGTTGTAATGTAATGTGATAACAAGGTCATACATTGTTTATTTAGTTAGTGGACAGACAAAAGCATAATGTCAGTTATAATGGAATATCGATCCATATACACATAGCAAAAAATATAATAGACTGTCAAAACCAGAACACACACATACATCATGTGGGTACATGTCAGTTATTGACTGTTGGCTTGAATCGACTTCAGGTGTATAGAGTGGCGTAGTTTTGATGCGCAGCATTTCGAAATGAATGTTTGTATAATCTTTATGACACAGCTAAAGGATATGTATGCATGCCATTGTCGTCTCATTACACTTTCTTCATTTATTTATGCTTCTTTTCAAAGATTAGAATAATAATATTAATGTAGTGAATCTTCGTACCGAGTTCTGCGTTTTGATGTCAGCCAGTTATGGTTGTTGCTAACCGTTTCATACCGCGTACAGTCAAGTTTTTCTTGTTAAACTTTTGGCTTTATTTCCTGTCTTCATCGGTGGCGTTTTTCAGAATATGTTTTCTGCATATATGAAGTGTAACTATCCCCCTTGATAAAGAAGGTTATGCTGCAACTAAGCAGTTATTGATTATAGTTCTTGTGATGAGAACCTGATAATGATGATGACACAATGAACAACTCAACTGATATGCTAAATACGCCTATTTGTCCATGGTACCTTCTGCTTTACTGAGCGACGTAAATACTAATTAAGAGACTAAGACTGACCTGCGACTGTTTAGATATAATTTACATTAGGAAAAACATATATATAAACACATTAGAGTCGGACCAAGGCAGTAGAAATAATATTGTTCTGATTGGTAGATAATTCGGCTAGGTGGGCGAAAAATGAATGATGATGATTGGTTGACGACTTGACCAAGACCAGGGTAAGAAGAAAACGTTGACGTTTGTCAGTTATCCAATCACACGATGAATCATAAGATGATTACTGTTTGAAGCCTATTCTTATCTCGTTCTCATATCCATCAGAAGATCGAAAATCAATTCGGTATATTTATGCTGACTATTATATTTTGAATGTTCAGTTTGTGGTCAGAACTGCCTGCTAGCTGAAATCGGTAGACGGCAATTTACGTCAATGTTTACGTCCCATATCTTGGTCATCAGATTAGAACAAGAACAAAGACTATCGCAACAACCAATCACAGAAGACTTCGCGTGGGCGGATACGACTCGTGGATATATGGTCTGACCTTCAAAGAAATGGCGACAAAGAGATGACAACCAATGAGCAACCAATCAGAAGACGCTATTTGTCTGCTAATAATTATGTACATAAAAATCTCTAAATATCTGTTGATTTTCTGAATAAACGATCTGTTTGGCTGGCCCTTGGCTCTGGTCGTTACAAGTGTATGTCGATAGTAACTAATCACATCTACTTTGATATCAAATAATTCCCTAAAATCATAATAACAACACACATAATAGTCGCCTTACTCCATCTAAATAACCGAAAAGAACAATTAGCATACAACTGAATATTCGTTGTAGACAAACTTAATTAGCGGTGAAATTAACAATTTTTTCTTTTTAGTGTTTATGTCCAATAATTGTTTGATTTGATAGAAGCGCACACACTCCTTTCCAAACTTCAAATCTCTCTCATTAAGAAAAAAAGCGGCTACACTTACAACATCAATTAACTTTTCTTTTAAACTTAGAGGCGAATTTCATTAATTGTAAAGACACAGTGTTTAGTTGTTTCGATGGAGATGGTGTAGGGCATAGAGAGGGGAGGAGTAACCACCGAGTGGTTCAACTTTTCACTGAGTATCCATCCTAGGGATTGTTGTCTTTCTTCTTTGCTTCCACCCTGGGTAATATTGTTGTTTGCGAAGTTTGTTTCCCTTTGTCTGTTTGTTTATATGTCGGTTTATTCCTCTAGATGTCGTTAGTTCCTCTGAATATTTAATGATCTGATGTGAACTGCTGATTTTATATTGTGCGCCTGTGCGTGTGTGTGTAGGTGTGAATGTATGTTTACTTTATTTTCACATTAAACTCCAGTTTAACCCCTACCCACCCACTGACCGGCAATCACTTCCTTTCGTGCTTATTTACAACTATGGAAATCCGTAGACATTTAGTACAGAATTTCATATTTTAGGACAACAAGTTTATCTGTTTTAGAAAGTTGTTGATTTCAAAATCAAAACAGATTACCTTCTAGAAATTATAAGGTAAACACTCATTTGGTAGGATAGTGACAGTGGCAATGTAGAATCCAAGATGCATATTTCACCCCTCTAGACACTCATCAGTTAGTGATAGTGTCTCCACTAAAACTTGAACCCTAATGTCAAAGCACTATCCACTGGGCTACGAAAGCCGATATGCTGACATCCCAGCGGTTGAATATTCTATGAGCTTTCTTTCTAACCGGAAGGTTGTGGGTTTGAACCGCCCCCCTGCGGTGGGTGCGTATTGAGATGAAGAGTCTTAAACTAGGAAAACGCAGCTACCTGTCCGGTTCTCTCTGGTTTTCCAAGGTTGTTCTCTAACTGATGTCAGCGTGTGATGAAATCTTTAAAGGACCAAATCCTTGCAAACCAACACTGGTTACTACCAACAGATATCCGTTGCACAAAAATTAGTAGCTGAAGGGTGGTTTAGTGAATAATGCTGTTTTGGCTTTTAAAACGATACAGGGTATAGGGTTCGACTGCTATCGGGTATACGACTACTCACTAATGATTGTAAGTACATCTAGCTGATGAGTAACAAATAGGATGAATTGCACATCGTAGATACCACTGCTAGAAAGCATCCACTAAATGAAAACATGTCAATCTTCCGACATTATATTTCCTGTCTGACTAACAGTCTTCTGCTAACTTCTACTAATTAACTCGATTTCAAATTGTTGATATTACATGGTTGGAGGCAATCGGCCACAGAAAGCCTTGTTTGACCTAGGTTTCGTGCTAGTTGGCACTCACCAGTCAGTGAGGCAGACGTATCTGCAACATTCATGGAAGTCCTGTCCCTTCTGATATTTGAACCCGCATCTTCTTCGTCACAGAGATGGGGGGGGGGAGGTTCTTTATTGATTTTCAGCTTTATGTGCGTTTGTCTATAAAAATTAAAACAAGTGATCTATTCAGCGAAGAGACTCTTTTCAACAACGAATTTATTATCAAGCTGTACAATCGTATATACACATATGGCTTTTAGTATGAAATGCAATTTAAATATTTGTGATTATAATCATAGTTAAATATCGAGTGGCAAAATAATTAATGTCATATACAGAACAACTCATAAGATGTATAGTACTTGGAAGGGATGTGTAATTACAGGATTAGTAGACAAATCGAATAAAATAAAAATGTTACGTAATATTGTGTGAAATTCTATAACATAGAACTTAACGCTAGAAAACAGAATTGAACAAGTGGAATAATACCGGGGACAGTTCATAGTGAGAATAGTAATAGTAGTAACAATAGACGTAATAAACGACGAGTATACGAACTGAATAAACAAAATGAAAATTTGGTAGAGCCCAAAATATGATCAAAAGTTAATGTCCTTTATCACAGAGGGATTAAGACCATAAAAGTTGGAGGGGTGTAATGAACTTTTTCTATACACAGAGATATGGCTTTTCTATATCGAGGGCCAAGCTTCAGCACTTCAGGTTTTTCGGAAACGTAATGATTTGGGGAAGTTATTTATCGCCTTATAAATGACTTTAAAGGGACAGACTGTAGAAGCTGGAGTGATCATTATCTACCAGATGTTCAATGACTGCACTTCTTATAGCTTCACTTATAGCTTCTTTGTAACTACCATACAGGATAGTGTTCTTGCACTCTCTTGGAAAAAACTCTAGTCGAACGACCGATATACCTAGCTCCACATGAGCAGGTGAATTGATAAACGCATATAGAGTTGGTCAACAGCGGGATATTGTCCTTCAGGTTATTGAATAGTGATGGCCGACTAGTAAAGGCTATTCTCAAAAATGCAGCAAGGAATTTTCATTTCAGAGACTGTGAAATCCTTCTTTTCATGATATCGGATCGAAAGTTAAGTCACCTTTGAATTCCAAAGCTCATGTACAGCATTTTCTTGGGTACAAATGATAATTCACATTTCATAGAATTTGAATGTGTATTCTTGTCTATAAAACTTGGTGGAAAACCATTTTCTATTAGAATTTTTCTCAAAAGATCTATTATCAAGCTGTACAATCTTATATATAAATATATATATATATATATATGCTCTATAAAGTGTGATAAATAGCCTTCTCAAGTATTGCCTTCCTCAAAGGAGGTTGATCTCTTCTCGCATTCTTTTTGTCTATTTCCTTTTCTCTTCAATAATTTTCGTCATATTATTCTTCTTTCAATTAAATTCAGATAAGCTTGGTAATGCGAATGTTGTCAAATTTCTATCATCAAGCATTTGAACAATTCAAGGATTCATCACATCAAATTAGTCAAATTCTACAAGCAGCACAACGTGTAAGTGTTCAACACTACGCCTTTTATAAGCCTCATTTTCTAATTTGTAATTTGCATGTCTTGTTGCTCAATTTTGTTGGATAAAAATGGTCGGTGTCTGTTGAAATGCCACCTCGTAGTTAAAGATACTTTGGTGATGTCTGGAGATTTAAAAAAAACAATTTTTTTTTCTTTCTTGACGTTCCCAGTGGAACATAGGGCACCTTGAAGCTGAAAGCTAGAAGTTCGTTTCCGCTGGAAGTGGTGTTTATTACTTTTACGGGATGGGATTGCTAGCCTCATGCCCAGCCCAACCTCCCCTCTTTACCAGCCCTATTACTGGTTGAGCAAAGGTGTTAAGGAGTGCGTCTGTGGCTGGGGATCGAACCTTGAACCACATGACGCTCCACTGACGCGCATGTCTAGAGATTAGTGTGAAGTTAGTTTTGTTGGTGTAGACGTCATCTGTAAGGACTTACCCTCTGAAGCTCTGAAGACGTTTGATTCAAGGTTCGAGTGTCATCTGGGCTACAGGTTCATCCATCCGATGAATCGCAAATTGTACGCAACATGCATCCTGGATTCCACTGCTCAATGCCATCAACGAAAAAACAACTTCGTGTAAAGTATGTTATTCGATGTATAGTTGATTGGTGGTTAATAGTGGAATTCAGTTCACGTGTTTATATCCTTTTTGTGGTCCTTGCTAACTAGAGTTTAACTGCGTCTCCAGTGAGCGATAGTTTTTTTTTCAATGTGACTCGAATCAAGCAATCATCGGTTCATGTGCCGAAACTTTACCGATTAGCCTCGTAAGTCATGCGAACCAACATTTGATCTAATGCATAATACTTTCGATTTTATTTTGGGTTCGAATCCTGTTGGGAACATTATTATCATTCACTGAGGATACGAGTCTGTCTGTCTGGATTCAACATAGAACTTTGCACTGAAGTGCAGCAGTTCCATTTGCCACGTTCCAAATAACACACAAACGTAGATGAGAAAATGAGTCAAGAGAATCACTAGAGTTTGACACGTATAAAAGTGAAACAGAATGAAAGATTACAGAGACTAAATACATCTACGCTATTGACAACGATTTTGAGCTATGTCACCAATTATCTCCAGCCATCGATTTTTAGAGTCCCGCGGGCCCCGACCCGGAGGTCTGCATCTGTATCTGCAGTTCAACACCATCTGTAAGCATGGTAATATCCATCAATATAACATAACACTGTACTAGATAGTTGGAGGAAATCGGCAGGAAGGCGTAGACCTAGGCTTCGTACTAGTTGACACTCGTCAGCAAGGCATATCTGCAACCTTGAAAGAACTCATGTCATTTCTGTTATGTACTGGTCGAGAATTTAATAGTCCTGACGCAAGAAAGACGGAAATTAGAAGACTACTGGGTTTGCGATGATACTTCTATTTTCCAAACACAAGGAGAATCAAAATCACACACAAGAGTGTGAGAGCAAAAATATGAATGTCCGAACAAGTGTGTGAGCGAATATTCAAAATGAACAAATCAATAGACAGTCTTAACATGATTGGCTAATTATAATGGAATATCGATCCATATATACATAGCAAAATATATCAGACTGTCAAACAAACACACATATTATACGAATACATATCACCTTCTGAGATTCGAAGCCGCGTCACCCAGTGCTGCAGTCAGAGACGTTACCACTAAGGAAATGGTACGTCTAACTTACGACGTCCAAATAGGACATGACGTGTATCATAGATTCCACAGTTAGCTAGCACCAATCAAGCTATATGATAATCATCTTGAGATATTGTTGAATGCCCACAAGCCAGCAAAGATCATTCATTTCGGTGTAATAAAAACCGATAAACGTGAGCTGCAAAAGAACTTCTATATACATACTTATTATTGAAGAAAATGATAGACAGCAGTTATGGAAGTCGGAAACCGGTAAGCAGTGTGTAATAACTCTCACCTACCGAATTAACCAGACCTGAAAACAGTTGGCGCTCGATAGTTACACCTATATCGTACCGTTGTTGTTACCTGGTGGTCCTAAGCAGGGTGAGGGCGAACCGATTTGATCCAGATATGAAGAGGTAGAGACGAGTAAGAGGATTTCTGTGTCTAGTGAAAAGCCCCAGGCGTAAATCTAAGTGAAGCAACCATTAACAAGAATCTTGTTGATGAAAACCTTAAAGTCCGAGGTAGAGAAGAGTTTCATACAAACAGCAGTTATCCATGGCTCAGGCGGTCCTAATTGATCAGGTTTATCGAAACAGAGACGCAGTACCTGATATTTTCCGCTTGCAGGCTTTGTTATTATCGCTGCTAAACTGTACTGTTGCAGCACACAACCATGAAGCGAAAAGGAATCAAGTTAATATTTATGACTCCGTCGACGGAGATTGATGCATGTTAAAACTTTGGTTCACTGCGGGCTCATTGCGAAAAAGCATTCGAATCAGGAGACTTTGTCGGGAGCTCTAAGAAGAGTATTCTTTTCTTTGTTAGAAGTATATCCACTTCCGTGGAATTGCCATATCCGAAGATAGGTGGGCCAGCCTTCGTGAAGCACCAACCTTCTTATGGTGTCTGGAACTCCCTTGTCAGCCTTTTAAATCCGTTCTGATAACTAAAGCAGGCCTCTAAGGTGAACAGTCTCTCGCAATTGAACAATGTAGGTGAAAGAATTTGGTATATTGGATCTGTAACTTCGGAAGAAGGACCGTTATGTATTAGATTTTAACTAAAGACTGAGGTGTGTGGTTTCAATGTCTAATGTTAAATGTTGTGAATTAATACAAGTAATAACAACGACAATAATAATAATAATGTCAATGATAACCAAGGTACAAGTAGATGACTCATTTGGTGATAAGAATAATGATGGTAACAATTCAATATTGAAATTTGATCAAAATGTTATAAAATTCAAAGTTACACAATACTGAAGATGCATAAAGAGGATAGATAGATAAATAGATAGCCAAAGTTTGAAATAAGTATATCATACGTGTATGCAAGATGATAAATAATAAACTGTCACGAGTCCTCTTTACGGGTGTGTACTTTTTTAAGTGAGTATGACGTTGGTATTTTTCATACTCATCGATGCAACTTAATAACATGGATCAGATTTTATTACAGGACATCATTGTGTGCTAACATTGGTAGGAGAGCCATTTGCAAATTTGAGAGTACTGCCAGACAGGTGTTTCGTCCCGGTTGGGGGGGGACTCTTCTGCTGTCCAGTAGTCCTAGGTTTTCCATTGGCTCTCTAACCGATGTCAGCTTATGATGGAATCTTTTAACTAAACAAATCCCTGCAAACCAACACTTGAAGATGAGGCATAGTGTGCAAGGTTAATGAATTGTATTGGCTTTGACTTACACCCGTTCGAGATTTATACATTTCATGGGCTATTTTGTGCGTCGGTAGCAAAGCGGTAGACTGCTCGCCAACTACGCCTCATGTGATCTCGGGTTCGTTCCCCGACCGCCAGTAACAAAACTGGTAAAGAGGGAAGCTTGGGCTGGACATGAGGCTAGCAACCCTATCCCGTGAAAGTAATAAACACCACTGCTACCGGAACGGAACTTCAAGCCGCCTCTTCGACGAAGTCATAAGCTAAGCTATACAACATTCGTGAGGAACTTCCAGAAATGTTTCCGGTCGACGGTCGAATTATAATGGTTGTTTATGATGGACATAATGAAGAAAGTGGTTGGACGTATTTCTTTTGAATATATAGTGTTGGCTTACATCTTTTGGTTCTGTAGTACCTCATCAATCCCCAAGTATGCGTTGCTTTCACTACCCGTGAAAGATTCACCTGTATATATCATGGAGCTTTATAGGACTTTCGAATGAAGCTGAATTTTCTGGGTTCAGCATATGTACTATTGCCTAGCTATATATATATATATATATATATATATATATACCTACATTCTCCGTTTCCTGGCTAGACTAAATATTGTAACTAAACGATTCAACTGATAACTGTTGCACAAAATGTAGCTGTAGTGGCTAAATAGTCGCCTACCGAATAATACTATTGGCTGAGTTCAAATCTCAGTTGACAGGAACACCACTAATCACTCGGATACAGGTATATCCGACTGACAAATCCAAGGTAGCCATCAGTAGCCATCACCAACCAAATGATGACACTTCAAAGGATAAACATTGTTATCAGGTTTTTTAGTATTCAAGTCAAGTCAATTCGTTATATGCATCACCTTATGTTGTTAGATGATAAAGTGACATCAGTTCTTTTTTTTATCGTGAAACCTTGTTTTTTTGTGTGTTTTTCCACTTTAGTCTAGTGAAAACTATGAACAAATCAGTGTAGAAACAAAAACGCTGACTGAGAAACTACTCAACACACCTTGGGAACAGATACAGTCAACTAATTCGACAAATACACGTGAAGGATATGTCTTTGTAGCTACAAAAAGTAAGTGGGCGTCTGTGTGAGTGAGTGTGTGTGTGTGTGTAAGTGTGTATTTGTAAGCTTGAATTTGATTGATAATTAACTCAGCTGCTAAGTGTGTTTAACTCTTAATTTTATTCCCTTTAATATGGCAATGCATACTACTAATTACTCTTGATATGAGTAGTTGTATATACTACTCATATCAACAATCAGTAGTGCTTGTTAGTAGTTAGCCAGATGCAAGTGATCTAAACACCAGAGATAGGTATTTCCCTTGTTTGTGGACGAGTTCATCAACGATACATTTCGTGTGACTCAACTCAGAGAGTCGAATCAATTCAAAGAAGTCGAATTCTAACTATCCATATAAAATGTTGAATCGAAATAGTGATTTGCAATTCACGTTGTTCGAGGAGGTGAAATTTCACTACGGTTCCAGCCTCTCCCCCTTCGAAACCGAAGTTTGATTGGTTTGAGTTGATTTGGCTCTCGGAGCTGAGTCAAAACGGCTGAGCCCAAATAACCGAAACCACCGTCCAGTGTTTAAATCACATCGATCTGGTAGTTAGTCAGCACTGTAACGACAGAATACAAGGGTCAGGCAACAGATCGTTTATTGAGGAAATCAAAAGATATTTATAGATTTTTATGTAGATTATTATTCGTTATTGTTAGCAGAAAAGCAGCGACGACTTCTGATTGGTTGTTTCCGTGATGAAGGTTATTCTATCATCTCTTTGTTACCGTTCCTTATACAGTCCTCTGATATATCTGCGAATCGTATCCACCCACGCCAAATCTGCTGTGTGTTTGGTTGTTGAATTCCTCAAGGTCAGACTTTGTTCTGGTTTCTCCTCATAACCCCGATTTGGGACTTAAACATTGACGTAAATTAATGTCTATCAATTTAGGCCAGCAGACAGCTGTTACCACACCCATATCAATCATTTAGTAGCATATAGCCACATGCATTTTTGCTAACTTCCTTAATATTTACATATGGTATCAGGCAGATCACGTTCCCTGGTCGCTCCCCAAAGGAAACTGTGGTTAGATTTCACCTCCTAAAGCTGCCTTAAAATTATAAATCTGCAGTTTATTCTTCATAGTATGAATGATTCTCATGTGATATAATTAAGAATAGAATGGAGGATTTCATCATGAGCTGCTCAAACTAGGGCGAGACAACCGACCAGTACTCCCATGGTGATTTTCCAATGGTTCTCTAACTGATTTCAGCTTATAATGAAATCCTCCATCGAATCATACAAAATCCCTACAAAACCGATACTTTATAATTAAGAATAATTTAATGATTGTGAAACAAATAGGCAGAAAGAAATGGAGATGGATTGGCCATACGCTGAGGAAACCATCAAGTGACATCACTAAACAAGCCATTGCTCGAGTGGAACCCGAAAGGGAGGCGGCGAGTTGGTCGTCCAAGGGTGACTTGGAGGAGGTCATGCGAGGAGGAGATGAAAGCATGTGGACAGACCTGGAGCAGGTTGAAAAAGTTGTCAGAAAACCGAAGTCAATGGAGGTGCGCAGCTGAAGCCCTATGTTCCTCTAGGAACTAAAGGATACAATAATAATAATAATAATGATTCCCATTTTAGCATTAAAAATACAACATTCGTCGAAGAGGCTCTCGCCAACAACGAATTTATTATCAAGCTGTACAATCGTTTATACATATATGGCTTTTAAGAAATTATATCCGGTGAGGGAATTACATCAAATGCGTGAATACATGAAATAATAATAATAATAATTGTAGTAATAAGGGATAGGTATATAATTAGGAATGCACAAGACAGCAAAGGGAAGCCTTTTCGTAACTTCGCTTAGAAGATGTACAGTTATTTATTGCTCTTTATTTATTCAATCTTAATTAACGAAGATGGTCATAGGTTACTGTCAGCTGTTAAATTCTGTCGATTCGCGATTTTAGCGCCCAACCTTCTACCAGCAGCAGCCCATGTCATCCATCCGCAAATATTTTGTCCTGAAAATCGATTTAGTGGAACCCAACTGATTATGACTGTTCACTGCCATTGTTGTTATTATTATTATGGCTTACAGGATTTCATCATGGGCTGATATCGGTTAGAACACTATTGGAAAACCAGCTGGGAGCATTGGATGGTTGTTTCGTCCTAGTTTGGATCTCTTCATTAGGGCAAAGTTCTACAGTAGCCTTCTAAGGGATGCGAACGCACGAGTGACCTTTAGCTGACCAATCAGAAAAATGAGGAATTTTTCACAAATAAATCACTCGTATTTACACAATAAAACATGAGAAAACATTAAACAGGGTATTTTTCTCTATTATGAGATAAAAGTATATCCCAGTTATAATGGGGAGTATCAGTTTTTAAATTAAACCAATTTCTATACATATACATATACAGATGACTCAAAATAACTTGGTTTCCAGAGCCATTTATTGCTCTTATCCTATTTTTTAATCTTCCTCAGAAACCCTGTATTGAATTAGTATGAGTACCGGTTCTGGGATCGACGAAATCGTAAGAATGGTTAAGTCGATTGTGTATATATCCCAAGTCCGATGAGTGATTATATCCTGTCCATTCATTCGTGTGTATAGTAGTGCCAGGCAAAACGAGTTTCTAAATAATAGACAGAAGAGTGTCGGCACTCCAGTCTGGAATAAGTTCAATGAATCGCTTCTGAATTTGGGTATCATAAATTTTCAATACTCAAACGTTGTTAGCTCTAGCACGACCGCGATTATATTTCTCCTTTATCGTAACTGTTTCGTCGATCTGAACGATAACACCGACTCCTTCCACAACACTTGTGTAATATTGTTCATTTTCCATGAGGCTAAATCTCGACAAAATTGAAACCACTGCATAAGTAAACGTCTACGTATTTTTTATCTTAGCCTCAGTTAGCCTCACACCGGACTTCAAAATCCAATAATGGAAAAGGAACAGTATACTCATCAAAGAAAGTTTCGATTTTGCAAAGAAAGTTCCCAGAAGACAATTAACTGAGAATGTCACTTACCAGTACAAACACTCGTTCGTTTTATACCCTCCGTACATCTATCTATCTGTCTATATATATATATATATATTCATGAATGACCTGTGAATACGGTTGCAGGTTCATTGAAGCACCACAGATGAATACACGAGAACGTCTTATCAATCCATTATCCAGACAGTATTGAAATACGTGATCTGGGTGAAATTTACACCTGAGCTCATGAACACCGTTCATTTTCGCGCTAGAATAATCGTAGGTTTCTTCAACTAACGACTAGAATGCGTTCAAAGTCATTTGAGCGTTCGCACTCCTGGAATGCTGTTGTTGTTGAACTTCGACTTCAATAGTACTCACTGACTCCACTTGGGTTCGTGTCCAGGACCTTATTGTAACGTAGCGAGCTTGAACCACTATGGGCGCGTACTGATGAAGAGTCTCAAACTAGGCTGACAAAACAGCTGTCCAGTACTCCCTTCAGTTTTTCCAATGGTTCTCTGTCTGTCTGTCTGTTTTCGACATAGAACTTTGCACAAATGTGCGGAAGTTCAAGTCGCCACAGTCCGTGTAGCACGCGAAGCAAGAGAAGAAAGTAGAAGAAATGCATTATAGAGACAGTGAGCAGAGGTGTGAGACAAAGGAGGAGTAATAACGAAGAACAAAACAGTTTCATTGGAGATCATAAGTCACAAGGAGTGGATGCATCTACGCCACTGAGAACGATTTTGAGCCATGTCACCAATTGTTTCCAACCATTGGTTTTTACCGTCCCGAGGACCCCAGCCTGGAAGTCTACACCTTCCTACGTGGCTTAGACCAACTGTTGTGGATTTCATTGACTGGTTCGGCCATGTTTTTGTTTGACCGCCGCTAGCTTTTTTCCAGCCTGACCCTATATCCGCTAACATTGCTCGTTGAGGGAGGCGATGGCTTGGCATACGTAACACATGTCCTAACCATCTCAGTCTTTGTAGCTTCACGACTTCGTCGATTGATTTCCCCTGTTTACCTAGAACTCGACGCCTAACTTCAATGTTGCTCACCTTATTATGCCACTTTACACGGGAAATAGAGCGCAGGCATCTATGATCAAAGACAGCTAGTCTTTTCATGTCTTCGACTCTCAGTGGCCAGGTCTCACAACCACAATCCAATGGTTCTCTAATCCATGTCAGCTCATGACGAAATCCTCTAACCAACCAATCGAATCTCTACAAACCAATATTTGAATATTATTATTATTATTATTCTTTATGGAATTATTTTATGAAGTGTACTGTGAATTGAACTGATTCACTTCGGTGCAAAGGTTCCACACGTTGAAAATTCACTCAATTCAGTTAAGTTTAATTCTGTACCTTTACCACACACATTCACATAAAACTGCACCGATTAGCATATATATAACAACAGGATCGATTCATTATTATAAGGCATTTTTGTATTTCCCAGTGAATGAATGAAAAACAAAACACCACTGTTGTTGTCGTTTTGACTGACGTCTCAGTATTTAAAGGCGGTTAATAATAATAATAAATAATTTTTCCTTCACGTTCCCAGTGGAACATAGGGCTCCAAGCTAGTGGCTTGAAGTTTCTGTAGCAGTGTTTAATTTTTACAAGATGGGGTTGCTAGCCTCATGCCCAACCTTTCGTCTTTACCAGGATTATTTCTGGCTCAGTGAGGTAAAGGAGTGCGCCGGCCGGGGGTCGGACCTCGGACCATATGCATGGTCGGCAAACGTCCTAGCCGCTATACCACCGACGCGGTTAATAGCTTTATCGAACTTGTAATATTGAACTAGAATTTACAAAAACTCAGTTTATATAAAACAACTTAATTATCGTTCATCAGCATGAGGTAAATTATTGTACGTTGTCAAGTTGGCCAGTTTGTAGAGTTTACTGTTATGATCGGAACTACGACTTATTAGTAAACTGTGAGTGAATACTTACTTAATGCGTTGGCTGATCTGAAAATTACACCGCCGACACACAAAGACAAAAGAAAGGACTGTATGTCGATGAGAGGGTTTTTACTGCCTCAAGCAACAGTCAAAATACTGGATAGAAACTCTGTATATATACAGTTAGAATGACCTTGAAAATGCAGTAATTCATTGGTCTATTAAAAGTATTAACAACCAATAGGAATCCAGTAATCCAAACTAAGGTAAAAACCAGAAGGCTCACACTAGTGCGTGATAACTCCTTAAAATGGTTATTTTTTAAGGCCTTAGGTAAAATTACGCGAAACTAAGTGTATATAACATTCTTAATTGACGGAAAACGTCATATCTTCGGTGTTGTGCCTGCTACTTCTGGTCTTCATATTGTGTTTCTTTGTGTTCCTTTCACTTCTGTCTAGTATCTCTGCAATGTTGTGTGAGATTTGCTTTCCCTTACGTCAAATATATCTCCTTACTATTTGATATTTTTATGCCGATGAATATCTCTTCATATATACATACTACTGATAAATCTTTTCAGTAGCACTCGTCACAATATTCATCCTCAACTGTTTTGGTTGAGTTTAAACACAGAACTTTGCGCACGAATACATCAGTTCTAGTGTCTACATTCCATGTAGACAAAAAAGAGAATCACCGGATTAGAACTATCTGTGCCAAACAGGAATGTTTAAGGAGAAGGAATAATAATTACTTTGGGAATAATGAGAGTTTAGTGGATACAGGAGCTCATGAGTAGGGAACAAATGAGAGCAATTTTGAGCCATATCACCGATAGTCCCAAGGAATGAATTCCTAGCAGCCTGAGATGATTAGCTGGGTGCTGTGGTACCATTTCTTGGGCTGGTGGATTTTGTTTTGAATGAATAGTCAGTGGCCTGGCCTCGTAACATGAAGGTTCTTGGATCATGGATCAGAGCTGCTGAAGAGTCCGAAACTACGACAAAGTTGCTATCCACAACACTATGGTGACAATTTTGTGATCGAACTTGAGTGTACAATGATTCACTAATTTACAAGTTGTGTGGCGCGTGCTACTGACAAGACTTATCAGTAGTACATGATGAGACGTACACCGGTACAAAAAAATCAATTTGCGGAGAAATAGATTTTAAATCAAAGGGGGGGGGGAATCAACTAGAGTTGCAGCAAAACATGGAAGACACAAAAAGAAGACAAAGAAACACAATATGAAGCGCGGATGTAGCCCACAACATGGAAGATCTATTCCAATGACGATTTTCATATAAGGTGTACATAATTTCTCCATATAGAGATATCACATTCCGGATAAACATCCCGTTGCTAAATCTTTTGTCTTCTAGCGTTACATTTATACAGTTTCACAGTTTGTAAGATTCACCTTTAAATCTGTTTGTCTTATGTTAGACAAGCATTTGTGTGCAGGGATTTGGTTGGTTAAAGGTTCGACCAGGAACTGACATCACCAGAGAGTACTGGACAGCTGTCTTATCCTAGTTTGAGATTCCAGTGGGTTGATACATACTACTGATGAAGGGTCTTATACTAGGACGAAACCGCCATCGATAACTCCTTTGGTTTTCATCGATTCTTTATCTGATGTCATCTCGTGATCAAACTTGTAAATCCTTTTAGATAACCAAGTGGTATTATCACTTTCAATAACAATAAACCAAACGTATACTGAACAAGTAAACTTAGGGTTTATTATGTACTCGTCGCTAAATTATTGTTATGGACTGGTCGAGCTATTTCGTAGTCCTGACGCAAGAAAGACGTAAATTAGAAGACCACTAGGTTTGCGATGATACTTCTATTTTTCCAAACACAAAGAGAATCAATATGTCACACAAGTGTGTGAGAGCAAAATATATATGAATGTCCGAAAAAGTGTGTGAACACAAGATGAGAGAGAATATTCAAAATGAACAAATCAATAGACAGTCTTAACATGATTGGCTAATTATAATGGAATATCGATCCATATATACATAGCAAAATATATTAGACTGTCAAACAAATACATATTATATATAATATAAGGGGAATATACATTGTTAAAGGAGACAGGTTCATCAAAGTGAAATGGTCACAGACTAAGAGAGCAACAGAAAGAGAGACCAACATATATATATATATATATATATATGGATACATATCAGGCTTGCTGTGATATAAAGGCACTATACTAAGGCACACTACTAAAGGTACTATACTAGAACGGGTGAAGTTAAACTATCGCAGCCGAAATCAAAGTCTGCCAAAATTTGACCTGCAAAAACGAATTAAGTTCAGGGAACAATCTGAAAGATCACTTCTAATCAAATCATTCCAGCCTTCATGGATTTGGTGAGGGTGTTTCTACAGTATTCTACATAAGTATTCTTAGGTGCTTTATTCTGTAAATCTGTACTGTTAGGTAGAGTTACGGTTCGACGATTAACATTATGGCTTAGGGATATTGCTACGGTTAGGAGTAGGTTTAAGAACAGAGTCAGAAATATTAGACTGTTGTAGGCAGTCGGCAGAAAGTCTTTGACCTAGGTTTCGCACTAGTGTCCCATCAAATTATCCAATACAGTCCAACACGAGGTCAATTAGGAGCCCGAATAGCTCGATGGTAACGTCTCAGACCCAGGTTCGAATTTCACAGGGACATGAGTTCCTTCAAGATCGCACATACGCGTTGCTGACTGTTGGGTGTCAACTATGACGAAACCCAGTTCGAGCGGGGCTTCCTATGACCGATTGCTTCCAACCATCTAATGTCAACAGTTCGAAGTGCATCGTGATGGCGAGTTAACTGGTGGAGTGGTGTCCACATTGCAAACTTGACTGACAGAATTCAATCTGTACCAGTCAAAAGACTCGAAATATTACACAAATTACTGACTAGTGTCCAGTCAAAGAGTCAGGAATTACACCAATGAATGTCTAAGTATCATGTTCTTCAGGTATTTGGATGAATGTGTGTATAGCGTATCTCGTTGTAGTTAATTATTAGAGGCCATTCCTAAAACACATAAGAAGAGACAATTATCCAGTTTGGAAATCTTCCGCTGTCACTCAGCATAAGAAACAAGATTCTCATATTCAACACCAATTCCAATTCGATTTTCTATACAAGTTAGAAACTTGCACTGATCTCGCGTCATGAGTGGCAAACTTTAATCAATAGCTGGTGCCTTCACTGGCTGGCTCGATACTAAAAAAATCAAATGGCCAATGGTGAGCCCAGCTGAAGAGGATGGCAGATAATCAAAGAAAGTAGAGATGTGTTGTTGAATCCCTATGTTCCACTCGGAACTCAAGAGGATAATTATTATTATTATTATTATTGTATCCTTTAGTTCCTAGAGGAGCATAGGGCTTCAGCTGCGCACCTCCATTGCCTTCGGTTTTCTGACAACTTTTTCACCCTGCTCCAGGTCTGTCCACATGCTTTCATCTCCGCCTCGCATAACCTCCTCCAAGTCACACTTGCACTGACGACCAACTCACCGCCTCCCTTTCGGGTTCCACTCGAGGGCTTGTCTAGTGATGTCACTTGATGGTTTCCTCAGCGTATGGCCAATCTATCTGCATTTCTTCCTGCCTATTTGTTTCACAATCGGTTCGTGATTGGTTCGCTCCCAGAGATCCCTTCCTGTTGCTGATCTTTTCTGACCGGCCATCTGATCTTGAGTATTGAGCGGAGACAGCTGTTAATGAAGGTTTGAAGTTTGTTTGAAATGCTCTTGATGACGCGCAGTGCAAGTCTCTGATCCGTATAATAGCACTGACTTCACATTGGAGTTGAAAATCCGGATCTTATTTTTGATGCTGATTGCTGTTGACCTCCACACAGATTTAAGAGTAATGAAAGCTTGTCTTGCTTTTCCGATTCTGGCTTTGATGTCCTCGTCAGTTCCGCCTGTAGTTGAGACGATGCTTCCCAGGTAGGTGAAGGAGGTTGTTTCTTTCAGGTTCTTCCCATTTATGCTTATTGTGGTCTGTTGGTGTTGTTGATGTTGGCTAGGAATCTTCATTATCTCTGTTTTATCTATGTTCACGTGAAGTCCTATCTTTGATGCTAAGTAATATCACATTTGAAAGGCTCTTTAATGAATTTTTTAAACGATTATGCCACCTCTCTTTTTTCTGAATTCTGATTGGTTCTTCAAGGTCATTGTAATTTTTGCTATATGATAGGTTAACTTCGCCTCAAATCAGTAATTCGAATTTTGTCATATATTTTATAATGTTTCTTTTAAATTGTACTCAAAATTGTTTGTTTGTTTGTTTTTATTATATTTTATCTATTCTAGAAGCTGTTGTAACAGTTTGGACAAAAAATTTCTGTACATACAATCGTAACAGTAAGATATTAAAACTTACCCCGTACACTCAATATCAGGATGCAGATAATGTAAGCTAGTTAATGGTTTCCTTCGTCTTTTCTTCGATTTTGTCTATTTTTTTTTACTTTGGAGGGAGACAGAGGGAGAGTGGTGTTATCTGGAATCCATTTTGCTGTTTGAGTCATTGTGTAATAGACCAGGCGTTGCATCTTAATTCAGGATACTTCAGAGTTTGATACCCTTTTCTTAGTCCTGTACACGGGATCTAAGACCTTGTGGTCTTATTTCTGCTTTTATTATTGTTCCTTTTGGTTCGGAGTAGAACTCAAAGTTTCAATAGCACATCTCCACATAATCTGCGTATCACAATTGGATGACTAGCCCACCGCTTCCTAATGGGCCTCTATCCAAAGTCCCGGTGTGTTTTTCCAGTTGAATATCTTTTTAGCACATATTCGGTCAATTTCCATTTCCTTCTTCATACTGATATTAGATGATCGATTCTTGGATGGTTCATAGCCTAGATTACTGGCCATTCCTAAGTTTAGAAACACAGAGAAGTTTGATGGTGTGGCTGCACTCCTTAAAAAAAGAAAACACCGCTATTGTTTTAGAAATTTCTCGCGAATCGTAAACCTTCTCAGCTTGAGGATAGATGACACCTGCTGGTGGTAACCTTTGGAAAGCTAGTCAACAGATGTTTCCTCTATTAATGTTAATGTTTTAGTCTGAGATGGTTGCTTAGATCGCCGAAGAAATGAAAAATATATGGTAGAGAAACTTTAGGAGTCTGTAAGAGCAGATGAAATGATAGGGGATTGTCTAAGTTGTTAACCGGTGATTCAATAATCTACTCCATTCATCAAGATGGCAACCAGGGTTGAACTGCGAGTTTGGCCAAGATGATATCACTGTCTTCTTCGGAGGCTGTCCATGCAGTATGAACCACAGTCCTCCGGGAACGTGACAGCAGGATTCAACTCAAAATAGCGAAAGGTAAGAATTATTATTATTGTTTCCTGTAATTCATAAAGGAACATAGAGCTTCAGCCAGACGTCTTCATTGTGTTTGGTTCTCCAACAACGTTTTCACTTGGCTCCACATCTGCCCACATGTTTTCATCTCCTCTTCACATGACCTCCTCCATGTCACCATCGTACTGACAACCAACTCGCCACTTCACATCCGGGTTCCATTCGAGCGATGGCCTGGAATGTGATGTCACTTGATGTTTTTCTTACAGTATGACCAATCCACCTCGATTTCTTCCTGCATATTTGTTGCACATTTGGTTACTGCTGCGTTTGTTCGTTCATTGCCAGAGATCACTCACTGTTGCTAATCAGCTATCTAATCTTGAGTAGTATTGAGCGAAGACAGCTTTTGATAAAAGTCTGTAGTTTGTTCGAAGTGACTTTTGTGACGCGCCAAGTCTCTGATCCGTATAGCAAATAGCACTGACTCCATAATGGAGTTAAAAATCCTGATCTAATTTTACGTGCTGAGTGTTGTTACTGTCCACATTGACTTGAGAGAAATAAAAGGTTGCATGGCTTACCCGATCTTCGCTTCGATGATATCCTCATCAGTTCCGCCTGTAGTAGATACGATGCTTCTTGGGTAGGTAGGTGGGTAAAGGAGGTCGCTTCTTTCTTATTCCTCTCATTTATGCTGGCTGATTGCTATCTGTTGCTGTTGTCCAGAAATCTTCATCACCTCTGTTTTCTCACTGTCCACCTGAAGTCCTGTCTTCTCTGGATGCTTTTTCTGAAAACTTGTTGCTTCTCATTTGCAAATCTTCCAATTTGTGGGAAATCAGACACATATATCATCGGTGAAGTCCAGATCCTCTAGTTTTTTGTGTTGGTCCATTCTATCCCTGTCTCCTCGTACCCACCGCTATCTGTCGCATTATCTAGTCTGTCTCAATCAGGAAAATCATTGGAGATAGTAGGCAGCCAGCCAAACAGCCCTGTCTTACTCCAGTCTTCACTTCTTTGAAGGAATCCATGAGTTCCCCTTTTGTGGATTACTTGGAATGCAGCATTGTCGTACAAGTCAGCATAAACATTCAATATTATCCACTTTGAATGGTTTCGTGTGAGTAAAAGATTTTTCGTTAGCAGTATCGAAGTGAACAATACACTCCCGAAGGTAGAATTTAAGTTTATTGGGACTAATCATAAGCCTTATATTTTAGTGAAGATGTTGCTTATTGGCTTAGACAAATGATTGTCAACTGGAGAGCCACGATTTCGACTCCGGCTCCCACCTACTTCAGCTTGAGTGACTGTGTAGTATCACCAGTCGTCACACGATGTCTTTCCCGAGTAATGGATCTGAAACAGACTTACATTGATTTCAAAATTCGCAAACTAGGTTTTAGTGGTTTTTCCGATGACTAAAATATTCTCCTTACTTTTCTGAAGATGTTACTACTTAATGTGCTACTTAAATCGGCCTATAAGTAGCATATACTGTGTTGTTTACGTTTCAGTTTCTTTCCGTTAAGCAATTAATGCCTGTAAGCCTTCATGATGTATTGCATTATTTATTTGCTTGTTTTTTTTTGTGTTTGAAGAACACTGAAACATTGAATGTGTTATCGTGTAGACGACGGTCGAATGATTCAATTGATCGACGCTGGTGTTTTGATATTGAAGTACCTAAGAGGTAGGTTTCCTTTTCTGTTAAAAGCAGAGGTTAAACTGATCAATAGTCACGTTTAATCAAAATCAATTAATTAATTAGTTAGTTAGTTTTCTGTGATTCTTTAGTGGGACAGAAGACTTTCAGGTATCATGGTTGATGGCAGTCGGCTGTCGTAGGCTGTTGTATATATATAACTTCACTTTGACAGAAGCTCTCTGTCAACTGCCTAGATCTTAGAGGTCCTGAATCTACCACTGGTTTCAGAAACAGAAAACTGTAGGGTAATACGATTGTTTATTCCTTCACCGATAATGAAACAGAATTACCAGTAATAACCAAGTTCAAAGCCTGTACATAAACGTTAATTTAATGTACAATAATACTTGTAATCGTATTTCGCCAGTCGTCTGCTAACCAGTATGCTTTCAAGCATTGGTTTTGTAGGGATTTTGTTTGATTGCATGGAGGATTTCATCATGATAGGACATCAGTTAGAGAACCACTGGAAAACAAGTTGGGAGTACTGTACATCTGTTTCGTCTTATTCTGGAACTCTTCATCAGTGCGCACTACGCGAGCTCGTAGACCATTGAGCCACTGAGACCTAAAGAGTCCCAATCTAGGACGAAATAGCTGTCCAGTACTCCCAGCTTGTTTTCTAGTGGTTCCCTAACTGATATCAGCTCATAATGAAAATCCTCCATCCAATCAAACAGTATACTATTAAACAACAATAGTCTTCTTGTCTCTAGCCAAATGGAGATCACAGTAGTTTGAATGAACAAACGATTCAATGTTCAACGACATTGATATTCTCCTTTCATAAAGTCACTTCTTCGATTGATTTTACTCATTGTATTTACCGTATATTCGCTCAGTATTTATTTGACGTAAGAGAAATAATGAAGTATATTTGAATGGAAATCTAGGTTAGCTGTGTGTGTGGTGAGAGCTGTTTGTCTACAAGCCAAAATTGTAAACAACAATTTACGCCAACAATTTTCGTCCCTAGTCAGGGTCATGAGAAAAACAACAACAAGAACAAAGCCTAATCTTGAGGAACTCACCAACCAATCACAGCAGACTTAGCATGTACAAATACGATTCGCAGATATCTTGTCTAACTATCTAAGAAACAGTCATAAACAGTACAGAATAACCTTAAGCAAGGAAACAACCAATCAGAAGACGTTGCTTGTTCGCCGACAATAATGTTCATAAAAATCTATAAATATCTGTTGATTTTCTGAATAAACGATCTGCTGCCTGGCGCTTGTCGTGTTTTGTTACAAGATTACTAAGAGTGACACATGTTGAGGAACCATTACAAACCGCCAGGGTGTACTGGACAGCGAAATTTCAGCCCAGTATAGGACCCTCTGGCAGTGTCTACCACCCACTACTCAAGTGAGGATCGAAGCTAGAACCTGTCTGTCTGTTTTCGACATAGAACTTTGCACAAATGTGCGGCAGTTCAAGTCGCCACAGTCCGTGTAGCACGCGAAGCAAGAGAAGAAAGTAGAAGAAAATCATAATAGAGACAGTGAGCAGAGGTGTGAGACAAAGGAATAGTAATAACGAAGAACAAAACAGTTTCATTGAAAATCATAAGTCACAAGGAGTGGATGCATCTACGCCATTGAGAACGATTTTGAGCCATGTCACCAATGGTTGGAAACAATCGGACCTTGAGTTTACTAGGTGGGCTTGTTGAACATTCAACCACTGGGACGGTATCCAATAACATGTGTACTAGATTCTGTATATTCGTGATATAAAGTGCCACTTCAATCGGTGTCATCAGTGAGTAGTAATCCTTGTTCTCACATGCAACTTGGTCGACTACACTGGTCACGGTTTCTCACTAAAACTTTAGGAACCTTCAGTCATTAGTGTGAGCACTAGGTTAATTCCCAAGTTTGAGTTTCCTTCGATTTGATGGATTTCAAGTTATATCACTATCTGATATCATTTGGAGAACCACATGGTATCGCAATGACGAGCAGGTTTCAGGTATTTCTTCTTTATCTCTTTTCAATTGATTTTCTCTCTCCCTCTGTTTATTTTGTTTATTCTTCTAGAAGTAGTCCAATCACCCTACAGGCACAGTGTTTAGATGATCTACACGAATGGCTATTGGTAATGGATGGAAAAGAACCGGTGAGTACACTTCTACCTTTCTTTCACTTTTCGTATTATTTCACTTGATACCGGTTAGTATGAGGAATCCATGAGGTATTTGCTGTTACATTTTTGGTGTGACGGATCCCAGCTTTGTTGTATGGAACTCCTGCATTGCCAGCTACCTGTCCATCAAATTTCGTCACTTGTCCAACAAATACGTCCTGAGCACTCCACACTGTAATATACCGCCTTTACCCGATATCTCAACAGAGTCTCCAGCGCAGTCGCATTCACAGTTGGATCCTTGGTCAATTCAGTAACGTCATCAAAGTCAAACAAGAAGCTCCTGATATCTCCTTCTTCGAAAGCAGTAGGTCATGGGATCTTCATTCTATGTAGGAAACGACAACGAATGCAAGGGGAGAAAACAAGAGACTCAGTAACGGAATGTCTATTTGGAATTTTATATCTCTAAATACGGAAATTATATATACCTTATCTGAAAATCGTCATTTACATAGATCTTCCGCGTTGTACTACTTCTACCCTTCGTATTGTATTTCTTTGTGTTCTCTCTGTGTCTTCCATGTTTTTCTGTAATACACCGGTTCGTTTCACCTCTTTGACGTCAAATCTGTCTATCTCTCCACTATTTGACTTTTCTCTAACGATTAACGTCATTCTATATTATTATTAATATTATATCCTTTAATTCCTACGGGAGCATAAGGCTTCAACCAAACGTATCCATTGAGTTCGGTTTTCTGCCAGCTTTTTCACCCTGCTCCAAGTCTGCCCACATGCTTTCATCTCCTCTTCACATGACCTCCTCCAAGTCACTCTTGCACTGACGACCAACTCGCCGCTTCCCTGTCGGGTTCCACTCGAGCAATGGCTTGTCTAGTGATGTCACTCGATGGTTTCCTCAGCGTATGGCCAATCCACCTCCATTTCTTCCTGCCGGTTTGTTTCACAGTCACTTCCTGGTTGGTTCGCCCATTGCCAGAGGTCCCTGTTGGTGATCCTCTCTGACTGGCCATCTGATCTTGGGCGAAGTATTGAGCGAAGACAGCTGTTAATGAAGGTCTCTGGTTTGTTTCAGATCCTCTTTATGACGCGCCAAGTCTCTGATCCGTATAATAGCACTGACTTCACATTGGAGTTGAAAATCTGGATCTTATCTTTGATGCTGAGTGCTGTTGACCTCCATACAGACTTAAGAGTAATGAAAGCTTGTCTTGCTTTTCCGATCCACGCTGCCTTGATATCCTCGTCAGTTCTGCCTGTAGTTGAAACGATGCTTCCCAGGTAGGTAGGTAAAGGAGGTTGTTTCTTTCAGGTTCCTCCCATTTATGCTGATTGTTGTCTGTTGTTGCTGTTGGTGTTGGCCAGGAATCTTCATCACCTCTGTCTTATCTATGTTCACCTGAAGTCTTATCTTCTATGGATGCTTCTGCCAGCTTGTTGGTTTTCACTTGCATATCTTCCAGTTTGTGGGAAATCAGACATATGTCATCGGTGAAGTCTAACTCCTCCAAGCTTTTTGTGTGAGTCCATTTTATTCCTGTTTCCACATTGCCCGTTGTCTTTCGCATTATCCAATCTATTGCAATCAGGAAAATCATTGGCGATAGTAGGCAGCCAGCCAGCCTTGTGTTACTCCCGTCCTCTTTTCGAAGGACTTCGTGAGTTTCCCGTTGTGGATTACTTGTCATGCAGCATTGTCGTATAACTGTTGAATGAGATGTATAATCGCCGATGGGACCCCGTAGTAGCGAAGTAGTTGCCAAATGACTTCTCGATCGACGCTGTCGAAGGCCTTTTCAAAGTCGATGAAGTTGAGTGAGGTGGAGAGGTGACTGACGGCCATTCCAAGCTTTGTTCAATGATGATCCGTATAGTGGTGATTTGATCAATACATGACTTGTTTCTCCTGAATCCAGCTTGTTCCAGTCGAAGTTTTTCATCTAGAACTTGCTTGATTCTCTCCAGGATGATGCGGCTTAGTATTTTGCCTGGGATGGACATGAACATAATTCCGCGCCAGTTCTTGCATTGACTTAAGTCTCCTTTCTTTGGTAGTTTGAATAAGTATCCTTTCTTCCAGTCCTCGGGTACTTTGCCCTCTTTCCACACCTTCTCCAGTAATGGCGTCATCAAGTCCGCTGTTGTCTCTGGGTCTATTTTCAATGCTTCTGCTGGAATGCCATCTGGTCCTGCTGCATTTCCAGCTCTTAGCATCTTGATTGCATTCAGGACTTCTGATTTCATCGGGGGGTCGATGTTCACTGTCCTTCTATATACTATTGATAAATCTTGTCAGTAGAATACACCACAGTGACCTTTCAGTTGGATATCCTGACTTTCCTGTGTATTAGTGTCTTAGTACAGCCATTATGTGATAGCAACATATTGCATATTTCTTCATGCACATCTTAACAACATAAAGCATAGATCTCACCAGTACGTGGATTAACATGATTATTCCCTTGGGTTCTGAAGAGAATACAAGGCATCAACAGGCATCACCTCCATTTCAATCTGTTTTCTGTACTCCCTTTTAACTAGTTCAAGGATTGTCCACATGCTTTGATTTCCTCTCCACTCGATCTGCATCATGTCATGCCTGGACAGCTGACTCGTTATTTGCACATAGAGTCTCGCAGTTCTATCTTCCGCGTAAATTATCTTAGACATTTTCGTAAATTAAAAAGTCCTTCAAGTGTTGGTTTGTAGGGATTTGATTGGTTACAGGATTTCATCATGAGCTGACATTAGTTAGAGAACCATTGGAAAACCTGGGAGTACTGCCAGACAGCTGTTTCATCCTAGTTTGGGACTCCTCATTAGTACGCATCCACCATAGGCTTTCGAACCCAGGACCTTCTGGTTACAAGGCGAGCTATCTCGTAGACCATTAAGCCACTGGGACCCCATCCAACGGCCGATGAATTCTAACTTCTGCCGATTCATGACATAGCGCGACCGCCAGCCAATGTGTTTGGCGTGTATTTGTCCTGGTTGGTTCGGTACCCGGATTCCTGACTGACTAAGTAACTGGTTTCACCGTAGAACTTTGCACCTATGTGCAGTAGCAGTTCGAGTTGCCACATTACCTCTCTAAAGCATACAGAGCATAAGAAGAGAGTGTAGAGAGATTCAGAAGAGAGAGACAGATAATATACAGAAGTGTGAGTGAAGAAGAGAGAATAGTAATATGGGGGGAACAGTAGAGTTATATTGAATATGACAAATCACAAGGGGTGAATGCATCCGCGCCAGCCATCACCGAAAACGACGATTTTCAACCATATCACCCACCAGTTGTCATCAACCTACATTAGTTCTTACCATCTCGAGTACGCCAGTCGGTTAAGCAGCCAGTCAACACCTCCCTATGTGGTTGGCTGGCTGGCTTAAACTAACTGTTATGGATTTCATTGACTGATGAAGCCGTGTTTTGGCCTCACCACCACTAGCTATTTCCAAGCCTGGTGCATCGTATGTCAATTAACATTGGCTGTCGATGAAGGCGATGGCTGGGATACCTTGTGTAATACATGTCCTAACCATCTCAATCGATGTTATTTCACAATCTCGTTGACTCATATCACGTCCTAACCTAGCACTGGGCCTAATCCTGACTTCAATATCTAACCCTATTGTACCACCATCCAAGACAGCCAGTTAGCCAGGCTTTTCATTTCTACCACTTTCGATGGTCATGTCTCACTCACAGTCATAAAGGAGGACGGAGCGAACTGTTGTTGTGCAGTACACACGTCGTTTGAGTGATAGCCATCCGATGGTATATCGCGCCTACTAAGCCAGATAGGGTGTAAGTTGGCTAATGCCAAATGAACCTTCTGTTACCGTACTGATATTTCGTCAGCGATCAACCAGCTGGGGTTGGCTGATGCAACTTCCCGAGTAAGTGGAGTGGTCAACACACTTTACCACTCAACTAAAGCGCCAGCGTTCCTTGTTGTCGATAGTTTTGGGCTGGCCAACTGATATTCAGAATCAAGCAAAGATAACTGTTGATGGAAGTCTACAGTAGCCTGTTGGAAATGCTTTCTAGTGATGCACCGAATCCTTTGAACCACATAGAAGCACAGAATGACTCAGCATTAGTGTTGAAAACTCACGTGTTATTCCTTAACCTGAATACAGGAGATTTCCTAACTGATTCCACTTATTATTATTATTATTCCCTTGGAATACGTGTGGAACATACAGGGCTTCAACAACACATCTCCACTTTGTTCTATTTTCTGCCGTCCCCTTCAACTAGGTAGGTCCACGGTTGGCGACAATCTCTCATCATCTCCTCACACGATCTTCTCTATGTCATCCAAGCATCGACTACCCGCTCGTCGCTTCCTATTGAGATTCCACTCCAGTGATGGCCTCCATTGTGCGCGATGTCACTCGATAGTCTCCTCAATGTATGACCGATCCATCCGTCTCCATTTTCTCCTACATATTTGTTGAGCAATCGGTTGTTGGTTGGTTTGTTTCCAGTCAGAGTTTCCTGTTTTACTAATTCTTTCTGACTAGCTGGCCATTCGACTTTCAGTGGAGAGACAGCGAAGGCATCTGTTGATGAAATTCTACAACTTGTTGGAAATCTTTTGCGTGACTCGCGAGCTAAGTTTCTGATCCGTATAGAAGAATTGACTGACTTAACATTTGTGTTTGAAATCCGAATCTTGTTTCCTTTGCTGAGGCGGAGTGGAGAAAATTTCCAAACTGTTTTCAAGTTGATGAAGGCGTATCTTGCCTTTCTGACTCAGACTGGCTGGCTTTGACATCTGTCTGTGGTTTAAACCATCCCTTCCAGATAAGTGAATGAATTAACCTGATTTAAATCTCTGCCATTGATGGTGGTTTCTGGTGGTTGTTGTTGTTGGTGGTGGTGGTCGGTTGGTTGTCTTCATCAACTTCCACTCTTCTCTATTTTCACTGGCAGTCCTGTCTTTGCTGACTGCTTCTTCAACCAGTTTATTGGTTTTCGCCTGCAAGTCTTCGAGTTTGTGTGACATTAGACATACGTGATCTACGAAAGTGTATACCTTCTAGACTCTTCTTATCGGTGGCCCAGCGTATTCCTGTCGCCTCGCTCCCCACAGTCTAATGCATAATCCAGTCCCCACTACAATTAAGAATATCATCAGTGATAATAGGCAGGCAGCCAGCTTGTCTTACTCCTATATGCACTTCAAATGCCTCGCTGCGTTTTCTGTTGTGGGTCACCTGACACGCGGTATTGTCATACAGCCAGCTATTGAATGATTTCGATAAAGACTTGGGACACTACATACCGTAGTGTTGAAGTAGTTTCTAAATTACTCCTCGGTCAACCATGTCTATCATAGGCCTTTTTGAAGTCGATAAAGTTGAGGTAGAGGCAGAGTTGACTGTCATTCTATGATGACGTGGCTTTGTCGATACTGTTTAGCTTTAATATCCTCCTCTGTTCTGCCTATAGTGGAAATGGTACTACTTAGCCTTGAGATTTCTCCTACTTATTGTGATTGAGTTAAGCAGAGACCTAACTGGTGTCACTTTTTTTGGAGCAGTGTGTGCTTTTTTCTTTCCGTGCCAAAATGCCAGCTGTAAATGGTTGTAAAATGCGTTAACTAATCGGACTCTTGTATTTATTTTGACTACATAATTAATCACTGACCTTTATTGATATATACAGTGTGAATTGTATAGCCTGTGAAATATCTATTGGCTTTACTGAATAATAATAATAATAGTATTAATAACAAATTGTGTAATACAGGATAACATAACACAGATTTAGAAAATGTGTGTTATGACCTCACTTTATGCATAACAGACAGACCAAATACCTAAGCAGAAACAGTATGTAGCAAAGTTAACTATTACAGTGAAGATGATATGTTTATCGATCTTGATTGCACGTTTTGAAGATGAAATACACTATCTCTTGGTTTGATTAGGTGATATGTTTGTTTGGAATGGATATTGTTCTGTGTAATGCGTGGAGAAAGAGAGAGTCAGATGTTATACTGACAGAGGCCTTCACACTAACATAAACGTCCTTACCACCACCCAACACTTGTCATATTCCTTCCCCTGAAGATGGAATTCAACTTCATCGACCTGGAGGTACTATTGTAATGCTTTACTGGGAAGGGAGTACTGAGAACTAATCAAAGCATTCTGCTGGAACTCAGCCGTCTTATGGCTAATGGAGAGTTATCGTCTGAACTAATGAAAACCAGTAGTGTATGCGTCAGGGATGCCCACTGTCACCATTTCTGCCTTTAGAGATTTAGGGGTCGACGTTTTACAACTGAATAATCCTGTTTACGTAGAGTATGTAGATAAAAACGGTAGTAAAAGACAGGGTCTTTTGAAAACACCAAACAGTGTTAGCTTGTAGCTTGTTCACATAGCAACTCAAAAACCAAAAGCGGTTATAGTTTATAAGATCAAGATTTGTTCAGTGAGTTGAGATCACTGAATTAGATGACTGATTAATGTAATCAAAATCAAAACTCAGTTACCAAGGTGACTAAGTGAGAGATTAATCACACACACACACTCTCTCTCTCTCTTTCTGTATGCATAAGTCTGGTTTGAATGGTTTTATTGCGATCGCTTCGGTGAATCGTAGTAAGTTTGCTGTCCTTTGTCTATTTAATATTTTGAAGAACTTAGAAATCTCTACGAGATGTCCGGTGTTAACGATATGTCTGGTGATTGCACTATGAGAATATTGGCTTGTTTTTAGGCACAGATTTCTTGGAATATATTCAGAAACCTGATAGAAGCCCTTGTTTCCGTCATTCCAATGTACTTGCTTTCGGAAGTGCACGTAAATTCATAAACGCAGTTTGAGGTGACATCAGCAGGGTATTTATCCAGTTTTAATTGGCTTATAGAAGAAATGGTGCTGTATAATGTGATGAGCTTAGCTGCAGATGCGAAGCTTCTTTTTATTACACGTTTCAGTCATATTTCTCAACCTGAAGCTGGGCTTCTACCCTGCCGATCACGAGGTGCTCTGAAGGAAGCGATTGGCTTCTTACCAGAGAATAATCCTGTTCACTTGGAGTATGTAGATGAAGACGGCAGTAAAAGGCAGAGTCTTCTGAGAACACCATGTGGAGCAAGAATCGTTGAATGTTTGGCATATGATTTGCTCCTGTCAAACGTAAGGTAATGCTATAGGACTAAACTATACCGATTCCTAGTTTAGAGATAGCCAGTGAAATGTTGGAGCGTGTTGACTACTTCGATTATTTTGGTAGTTAATTCAGTCCCGATGGATTATTGATTACTGACGATATCTCACTGTGAATGTAAAAGGCTCATGTGACGTTCACCAACACGTGCAGAGACACCATCCTTTATTATCGAAGAGATTTGTTGTGGATGGTCGTCCCAAAACCTGTCCTCAATACATGAAGTCTTCAACAGTTGTTTTGAGCCACGCAGTAAAGTGTAGGCTGTCAGGTAGAGGTCCTCAGTGGCTAATTCCACTTAGTCTTCATACCGGTGTATTTTACTATCCTTTCTCTCTTGCGTTTCTGTTCATTATAATCCCTTCCAATTATGTCTTTGTCTGTTTTGTCGACCTTGGTGTATACTACCTGAAGTGTGGAAACGTAAACTGCTGCAATCATGTAGAAAGTTCTATGTGGAAATTTAGTTAGTCAGCTTTCAAGTCAGAATCTTTTAAAAAAGAATTTTAAGATTCTGTAAGACTTAAAATTGTAATTTAATAATTCCCATTGTAGCATTAAGAAGACAATATTTAGCGGCGGTAGAGACTCCTCTCGCCAACAACGAATTTATTATCAAGCTGTACACTCGTATATGTGCACATATGGCTGATTTTAAGAAATTATATCCAGTGAGGGAATCACATCACATTAAAGGTGTCAATAGATGAAATAATAGTAGTGGTAGAATGAAATGCAATTAAAATATTTGCGATTATGTAATCATAGTTAAATGTCAAAAAACAAAACAATCAATGTTCATATATAGAATAATACATAAGATGGATGGATGGATGTATAGATGATGTTGTTGGGAAGGGGGTGCATAATTTTATTTATTTTATTTTATTTTTGATTACAGCTTGATTCCACACTGTATTTTTGGTACAAGTGTAGAATTTTCAGCGTGGATATCGGTAGCCCAAAAATTGGCAGGCCGACCATAGATATCAGGTGTGCGTCGGCGTGGGCTCGAACCCCGGACCATGTGCATGGTTGGAGAGAGCCCTAACCACTGTGCCACCGGCTTCGTCAATAGCTAAACCCCTAATCGAGATGACCCATGAGACTGATGTTAACTCAGCCTTTAAGGTCATCTGTAAAAGCGGTCAAAGGTGCTTACTGAAATACACAGAGGCTATAGCTATTCATAAACTTAAGCCCCACCCACCCCTCACCTTATATATTCAAAGACAGTTTATTATTACTCTTAACCTACCTCCGTAATCCTTATTTGACTGGATTACCAAACGTTGTGTTTATCATTCTTAAATCCTTTTCTTCCTCACTTTGCTTCATTTAACTTTTTTATATATATTGACTTGACAAGTAAATGTGTGAGGGATCAGATTGTTCGAAATGTATAGTGCAAATACATCACATACTTCAGATAATCTCCGTCTTCTAATAACAATGTCTGAAAAGATAATATTTTTGGATTTAGAATGACAAGTGGGACAAGCGGAAACAATTCAGAGTGAGAATATTAATAATAATAATAATAATAATCGTAACAATGACGGAAAGGTACATAGAATAACTAAATAAACAAAATAAATAAATGTCTATCCCTCTACGGCCAAGGCAGAAATAGGCATTGTACATACAGCTTCTTTCGCACACAAAAGTCTGGCCTAAAGTCATGAATGGATAGTCAAAGCCTCAGCTGTCTTTAGAAGTCTGTAACAAAGAAAACGCGGCCTAAAAGTTAGCATGGATTTGGTAGATGATCGTAAAATCATGGTCAGGGTTCGTGGAGTGATAGGGGTCGATCACGTCTTCTAGAATAGAGAGCTTCACACACACACACTTCCCTTCTCCCTTGTAAAATCATGCAGCTGGAATATGTTCTCGTATCCGTGTGGAAAGGGGCGTCGTCTGGCTACAGCCAATGTGCCTTGCTCCACAAGAAGAGCAGGTGAACTGATAGATGCACATTTTTTATCGATCTAGGGTTAAAGCAGAAGTAGGCATTGTACATACTTCTTTTGTACACAAAGGTCTAGCTTAAAGTCATGAAATTGTAAGGCGAAAAGATAATGTAATATGATTTTTAGAGTTAAATAATGAGTATATCTGTCGCAAATATAATTATATATGTATAATATGTTCCAAGTAGGTGATCTTTGATGAAATCTTTGTGCAATAGTCTATATTTCATTGAGATATTTATTACTCCCTTATTGTCGTTTGTTTCTTTGTTTTTTCCCACGATAGATTTACGATGATAGAAAAGTTTGTGTTCAAGAACCAGATGCAAGTAAGTCACATACTACTCTGTTTCATATACGACTAACTACTAATATCTACTCGTGTTTATATAAAAGTAACTTTGGTGATAGAAACAGTATTATTGACACTGGATGCAGGAATAAAAGTGACATTCCGACCACTCACAAACTCAATTAAAAATAAGCTTAGTTGGTTGAAGGATCAGTCCTGTAGAGCCTTTAAAACAAAACAATTTCGTTTATCTAATACCCTGCCTGCAATGATTGTTAGGTCAAATACATTGGTCAAACTCGTAGAACAGGGTCAATCGGTGAGACTAGCCGAGCGCAAAAACCTAGTAAAATCTAGGTTAGTTGACTCGAATAAGATCAGAAATCTGGAGAATAGTTCAGCAGCTATAGCACTCACTACATACAATTACACACAACACAACTATACAATAGGATGGGATCAAATGAAAGTTTTAAAATCTAGAATAGCAGGGTGAATGGAGGAAGAGATTGATAACAGAAGCTTTGTTTATCGAATCAACTGCGAATTCTTGTAATAGGAATGATTCAACACCTGTCCACCCAGATATCTGGAAAATTCTACCACCCCTACGACGACAAATAAGAGAGAACAACGAAAACTATAAAACGGAAGTTTCGAAGTCGTGTGATTATAATTGATGACATGATTATGAACAATAAATAAATTTTGTTCGACACTGTGTCATTCAGTAAAAAATACTGTTTCTGTGACTGTATGATACATCTAATAAACAAAATAATATGGAATTACTTACTACCACAGTACCCGAGTTTTACTCATATTACTCTGATGAGGACATATAGGCTTTTTCTATCAACAAGTATCACAAAGACTAGTGGTCAAGTTGAATCACTCAACCGACCGAATTTCCATTCAACACAGTAGCGCATCTCATTTCCTTTAATTCTTATTGCTTTAATAATTCAATTATGTGTCCTTAAGTCTCAGTGTGTACTCATCACGTGAACTTTTAATTACGGGTAAGCATATCTTTGAGATGATACGTTGGTGGCACAGCGGTTAGGACGCTCGCCGACCAAGCACATGGTCCGGAGTTTGATCTCCGACCACAGACTCACTTCTTTACCTCTTTAAACCAGTAATAAGACTAGCAAAGAGGGGAGATTGGGCACGAGGATAGCAATCCCTTCCTGTAAAAATAAACACCACCGCTAACGGAAAGGAACTTCATGTCTCCAGCTTGAAGATGCCCCACGTTCCACTGGGAAATATCTTTGAGATGAAGGAAAAGTATCATAAGAGGTTGAGTTTACGTTTCAGATTGACGAGTACTGCGTCACATGATGTACTGTCTTTTGTTTGGACACTAGTGAGTAACAAGTGTAATGTTCTAGTACTCTGTTTATTACAGACTGAATTCTTTTAGTAGAGTTTTCGCAATGTGGTCACCATTCTAGTTGGTTCGCCATCACAGTGCACTTTTAGTTGGAGATAATCGGCCGCAGGAAGCCTTAGACTGCTTAGATTTCCTGCTAGTCGGCAGTCACCAGTCAATAAAGCGTATCTACAGCCTTGAAGGAAATCCTTTCTCTTCTGAGATTTGAATCTGCGTCACTCAGTGTGTGCTGCAGTCAAAGACGTCAGAGATCACTGAACTATTTGAACTCCAACCATCTAATATGAATAATTCGAAATGCGTTGTCATGGCGATCAATATAGAGTGCAAGGTCACTTTGCAAACTTTACTGAGAGAATTTAGTTTGAAGTAAACAGAGGACTAGACACACTACACTAGTGACAAACTCTGGTGTTCAATCAAAAATATCCAATACAGTCAGTTCTACAGGAGGTCAATCGTGAACGCGAATAGCTGGAGTATTGGTAACATCTCTGACTGCAGCGCACACTGGGTGATGACACCATTTTGAATCTCAGAAGAGACATGACTTCCCTCAAGGTTGCAGATACACCATGCTGACCGGTGAGTACCAGTTAGCACGAAACTTAGGTCGAGCAAGGCTTCATGTGGCTGATTGCCTTCAACCATATAACACCAACGATATTAAATAATTTAATACACCCGACAATATTGCCCGTAACCATCTCAAAACAGTACAATCAAACTAATCGTTAAATATGATGGAGTCACGATGTCTTCTGGATGATGTCAGTCAAATTATGGTGCCTTCTACTATTTCCAGATTTGATTACTAATGACCGCCACAGATTATTCTAGCTTGTAGACTACACAAGTGAGGCAGATGATTATTATGTACGAAACAGCTTCAGAGTCATCGATGATTCACAGGAAATGGTATCTCACCTGACAAATTACCTAATTACTCCCCACAATTAAAATTATAAATTCATATATATAAACAAACTGTCATGTCAACAATTAAATTTTCCTTCCACATGTCATAGTTTTATTTTTAACAGCCTACATATTGATAACAGTTGTTAAATAACCTTAATTTTATCATCAAGAAAACATGTGGGGTGAAAATTAATGAATGTATGAAATACACTCATTCTACTGAAAATTTCAATAAAGATTTCAGTCAAGACCCAAGCACTGAAAACCAAGGATTATAGTGACACAGTTATTCCAACCTAGTGTGAGACTTCTGAACAGGCCACACTTGCGAACCTACCAGATATCGAAGCCTAAACCTCATCGCAATTTCAGGACATCCATCTGTAGTGGCCATCAATGAGCTAGAGATTGATATTTACATTACGAGATATGAACAGCCGTTTCGTCCTAGTTTGGGACTCTTCAGAAAAACGCAAAAGTTGGAATTCATGGACCACTTGGTCGAGTCTGAATAACTTAATGCTCTATGAGGTCGCCTCGTAACCGGAAGGTCTTCGGTTAGAACTCCGGCGGTGGATACGCACAGCTGAAAGGGCCCGTGCTAGGGAGAAACGGTTGTCTGGCAGTATCTTCGTGTTTTCTAATGGTTAGTTAACTGATGTCAACTTCTGGACGATCCTGTAACCAATCAAATCCTTGAGAACTAACGCTTGTTAATCATGAGTTTTGAAAGGATTTGTATAACAATGATTCTCCCTCTGAATATTACTATTATTATATTATTCCTTTGGATTCCGAGTGGAACATACGGCTTCAACATTACATCTCCACTTTCATCTATTTGCTTCCGTCCTCTTCATCTGGGTCCACAGTTGCCCAGAATCTTTTATCTTCTCCTCCCCACACAATCTCCTCCAAGTCACCCTCTCACTGATGACTCATTCGTCGCTTTCCATTGGGGTCCCATTCGAGTGCCTGGCGATAGCGTGATGTTGTCATTTGACGGCCTCCTCAACGTATGCTTGACCGATCCATGTGCACTTTCTCCTACATATTTGTTGAGAAGTCGGCTCTCGGTTGGTTTGTTCACAGACAGAGTTTCTTGTTGCTAATTCTTATGGCCAGTGTGGAACCAGCCAGCGAACTTGGCACCTGTCGATAAAAGTCTGCCACTAACTGTTTGGAAGTCATTTTCGTGACACGTAGTGCAAGTTTATGACTCCTATAGAAAGGTCGACTTGACATTGGTGTTGAAAATCCGAACCTTGTCGCTTGTGTTAAGGCGGAATGCAGAAGATTTTCAAACTGGCTGCAGGTTGGTAAAGGCGTATCACGCCTATCCCATTCTGGCTGACTGACTCTGACATCTTTAACCGTTCCGCCAACCTGTAGTTGGGACGATGCTTCCAAGATAAGTGAATGAAGTGACCTGTGTTAAATCTCTTCCGTTGATGGTCATTGGTGCTGGTTGTTGTTGTTGCCGTTGTGGTTCATTGGTTGTCTTCATCATCTTGGTCTTCTGTATGTTCCCCTGAAGTCCTGTCTTCTTCAACTGCTTTTTCAGCCAGTTTGTAACTTTTCGCCTGTCTGTAATTCTTCTAGTATGTGTGACATTCGATATAAAATCATCCACAAGCGAAATTCAGATCTTCTAACTCATTCTTATCGATGGTTCAGAGTACTCCTGTTTCTTCGCACCCAACGCACAGTCTGACGCATAATCCAGTAACACCGGTGAAAATAGGCAGCCAGCTTATCTTACTCCTGTATTCACTTCGAACGCCTCGCTGAGTTTTCCAGTGTGGATCACCTGACACGTGCTACTGTCATATAGCCAGCTGTTGAATGAGGTTGATAAAAACTTGAGGTACTGTACGCCGTAGTGTTGCAGTTGTTTCCAAATTACTTCTCTCAGAAACTAGTTCATAAAAATCTCTCCACTGAAATTAATCCTAATTCCTACGAAACCTCAGAAATAATCCATACTGCTAGAATGATGTTTCATTGCAAGTTAGAAATCAGTCGTGTAAATTTACAACTCTATAACAGATTGACTTTGTTACATTCAAATACAGCGCCCACCGCGTTATGCTACTAGTATTGGACTACCAGAATTTTTCAGTTTGAAAGAATGTAACGACTAAATAGCACCATTGGTGAATATTATTTACGCTGACATTTACATCACAGCATAAATTATATCTTTCCATAGAATTATTCCCTCTTAATAAAGTTGAACAAAGAAAGAAGAACACATTTGACAGGACAAAATGACGTCATTGCATTTCCTTGGTGTCTTCTTCATGCTTGTCTATGCAGTTGACAAGATCTAAAAAATATACATACATACAATGACGTCATTTTATCCGGTTAAATGTATTTTCCCTTTTTTGTTCAAACTAGAAATTACGACATTCTATTGAGACTTGGTGAAATTCTTATCCGAAGTATTTACCACTAATAAGTGTTGAATTGTTTTAATGTGAAGTCAGTGCTACTTACGATATAAATCAGAGACGTGGCGCCACGTCGCGGAGGCCAAACTACAGACCCTCATCAAGATCATATGGTCAGAAAAGATCAACCATTTGTGCAACAAATATTCAGAAGGAAATGGAGGTGCATCAGATTGGGGTCATACTCTGAGAAAACAAACCATCATCAAGTGACATCCATCACATGCCAGGCCATCACACGAGTGGAACCTGAATGGGAAG